CAAAAACACAATCACAAACACAAAGCCTCAGCACGCAATATAAGCACACAACCACAAACACACATTCACAGCACACAACCACAACACACAACAACACACAACCACAAACACACAGCTACAACAATATAGTTACCTGTGTGGCGTTTGCGTGGCAGGTGGTCACAAGGTAGCACTTTTGGATGCCAACTGGAGTCCCCGACGCGAACTCCCTAACTCTAAAGTAACAATTCCAAACCCGAGGGCACACAAGCAAAATCGAAAACCACAAAACTCATGACCATGGCTACATACTCCTCACCATGCAAATGGTGAGGATAGCTCGAAGTAAAGTAATTACTCTGTTTTTTGTTGCTATGATGAACGTGTGATTGATCCGTGCTGCAACGCACTGATCCTGCAATTTTTACACATCCGTATGCCGGCAGCACACTGACACCCGTGCACGGTTTTGCAAAAATTCTACCATCGCTCAAGAGCGCGCAAATGCCGCTTCGTACGCAAATGCATCGTTCAAGATGCAGTCACTTGTTTTCTTGTTTGCTTACACTTATGCTGAGGCGACAAAACCCCTATAAATCTGCATTCCATATCCAAATCATAGCAGCTCCAAGCCACCCCAACGGTGGCTTCCCATGTGACAAAGCGGCCCCTCGCGTACAACGTTCAGTGTGCTCGATGCATTGAATGGTTTCGTTCAACGTGTGAATTCAACGTGTACGTTTCTTCTCTTTTCTCGCATACACATGTGCAGAGTATAAATCTGTCAATATGATTTAGCGCTCATTCAGGTGCAGTTCCTATCATTTTTGTGTGCGCGCGGAAAACGGGTGGCCAAGTCGTCAAACGTGCACAGTGCCCTACAGCGCGGATATAGCGAAGGTCTAAGGCGGATCCAGCACACTTCGACTGTCAATGCCTCAAACCACCAAATACATTGATCATGAACATAGATCAACCTATGTAAGTAATACAACCTAGCGAAATGCTTTTGCGGGCGCGGCAGGCTATCATGTAATTAAGAGGTTCACAAGTTCCATGTTAAACTATATATAGCAAACTGTCTTCCTCTTGCCATGTGTTGTTTTCTCCGAGCGGGTCATTCGTGCTGTGGTGGTCCTCGCACCGGTGTTTTTGGTTTGGCATGCTTCTCGTCGCATCCTCTTCTCCCACAGAGCTGGGCTACTACACAACTCTATAGAAAAGAGTTGATGTCCATCAACCGGGTTGAACGTGATCGCTTCGATCCCGTGTTTTTCCCGCACCAGGTTTAGGCCCTGTACCAACACACCTCTGAACAAGAACTGGACAGCTTCCAGATCTGCCCATTGAAAGTCTTGAATTCCAAAGGCCGCATCAGTCTAGAATGGAAAGTCTTACCAAGCGTGGTGAGGAAGGAACTGTCCAGTGTTTTCGGGTTCTTGTGCAGGTGCAACTGAGTGAACACTTGTCATTGCCAACTGCTGCCTACGGCATTAAATACCAGCGGAAATGACATTGCAATTAAAGGTTGCCATCTATTCAAAAAACAATTGCAGCATATTGCAAACATATAGTCTCAAGCAGTGAACCAAAGCTTGGTTAGAAGCGCTTGTTCGCGAGCACGGAGAATGCTGGGCACCGTCTGGGATGGGTTCCGCTGCCGAAAGTGGACACGAAGAGAGTCTGGAGGGGTGAGTGACAAGATTAACGCGTAGGGAACACTCTTGAGGCCCATAGCTGTGACGTGGGCTTTCGCTTTGACTTTGTCGTAGCAGAAGTGCTTTCCTATCCAACTCTGAAAATCTTGACAAGTCTGTCCAAGTCGAGTTGTTAACTCCAGTCCATTGTCAAGTAGATGCAGCCTGCCTGGCCTGCCTCGAACACCTAGACTTCATCCCAGGTGGTCAAAGACTCAACAACAAATCGGCAATGCTGCAAACCACATCCATTCCTCATCTGTTGAAACTTGCGTTAGTTTTCTCTGAATGCTCTGAATATTTCTAGGTTAAAGTTGGAATGCTGCAGCGCTTTTGTTTAGCCGCTTTGCTCAGTTTAGTTTAATTTTGCTTCAGGTCAGGTGTTCAAACATTCCTAGTTCTGCGATTTTGACTTGTCCAGGATTTTGTCATGACAGGGCTGGCTTGCAGTTTTATTGAGTCTAGACTGAGTGTAGACGTCTATATAAATACATTCTTTAAGCTGGTAAGGGTGGCCATGAGGCATTGTTGAGTAGCCAGCAAAGGTTCGTGGTTAGAGCCCACATCCAGGGACATGGCCATTGGGCCAAACCTAGAGTAGAGGCTTCTTGACCCTGAAGAGGACACAGTGCAGGCTTCTTTCCAAATGCAAAACTTCTATACATTGCCGCTGGATTGTACAAGGCCGGCTGCAAGATTCAGTGTCTGCTGCTGAACTTGGAGTTGCTGATCCCACGAGGGATCGTGGGCAAGAGCGATGGGGATGCTTGCCGTGTAACACGCAGTCCCACAACCCACGGAAAGCTCTTCTACTCTGAAACAAGCCGTTGCTCGTGGAAGCTGGTTGCGCCAGTGCCAGTTGGCAAACTGGGTCATGGCACACTGGGAGCAGGCACTAGACAGCGATAGATTCCGCCAAAGATTGGCACTGCTGGGCCGTTCAGCTCATGCTCCGGACAGACACACAGTCATTTCAAGAACTGGATGTGCATGGACAAGAGTGAGAGAATTGAACATCACCAAGCAGTGGAGCATACTGATTGAACAACGACCGTGCCATGTTACACACCAGCGGCAGTAAACCTGTATACCGTATACTAACTTGCATAGTAGATGGTGGCTTGACACACGTTTCCAGTTGTCACCCAAGAATCGTAACACACCCTTATTTATTGGTTGTTGGAAGTTGGATGTAGTTGGAATTCATGTTGACATTCAAGGCTGGATTCTTGAAGCTCCTGGCAAATAACCCCCCCTCCCTCTCTCTCTCTCTCCCTCTCTCTCTCTCGCAATTCTATTTCTTTGTGACGGTGTCGGGCGCAACAATATCGATCAGTGTCTCCCTTGGATGCGTTTGCCTAGGCGATCCCTGCATCGCATTGCCGTCGCCGTGATGCCAGGGGTGGACAATCCGTTTGTCGTCGACACAACATTTCAACTTGCACAAAGGCTGCTAACTCCACCTCTTTCCATTGCGCATAGAATGGGGAGGGGCTTCGGAAGGTGACAGGGTGCAACCCATGCCATGCAAGCTGCAAGTGTTTTTCTGCTTCGGGTCGGGTCACACAAAACGAGAACCAGTGGCATAGGCTGATTGGCTTGACCTCAAAACGGGCATCAGCTCATCGGCATCTCGGCGTCTCATTTAACCCGGCCTGAGTCCAAGCGCAAACCTACAAAGTCCAAGCATGAGGACGGTAGGTGGTGAAACTTGTTACTAGTCGCTTCGTGTTCCTAGTAGCGACTGGCAAGTGCTTCTTACTAAAACGTCGTCTGGGCTTGGACCTGGCGAGCAGGGGAAGAGGTTGGCCGGCAGGGTCGGGCAACGCAAAGACCACGCCGAGTGAGTGCAGCAGAAGCTGTGCTCTGCAGGGCAATGGGGCAAAGAAGGAACATTCAGGCCACGTGGGGCTGACAAGTGGGCTCCAAAAACACAGAAAAGGAATTGGCGTGACCCTATGCCCACCTTTGTTGCGCTCTGGAGATCGCGGCGCATAAAAGCTGCATCGGTGCTCTGATTCATCATCGATGCACAATCCAACATGTGTGTTGATTCAAGAAGAGCGTGAAGCGGAGCCTGTCGCCCGAGCGGCTTCAGCCAGGAAAATACAAGATTGCTTCAAAGTATTGGTGCTCGTCCCATTTTACAATCTGAGATGTTAGCCATGCTTTTGCTCCATCCGGTCCATGCAACAATAAACAGATTTGCTGTCCATTCAGCAAGGCCACCCAAAGCATAAGCCGCGTTCGACCAAAGTTTGACATGAGCACGACAAGCACACTGAGCGCCAGCACATGGGCAACACCCACTACAGTGCCAACTTGCAGGTGAGAACCAGTATGCACCACAAACGGTCGCAGGATCCAGCTATATATACAACCTTCCCGACGTGGTTTAACACCTGGAGAACAACCTCACAACAAATGCAACGAGGCACGTCGTGCCAAGCCATGCCCTCAGAATGCCTGCGACGCTTTCCGGAACGGGCGCCTCGCACATTGAACCCCCATGCCCAACTGTCCGCTCCCCGTCGGGTTCACAGTGTGCTTGAGCTTCAACACCCAAATCATAGAGACGGACAGGTCGGATGAGTCAAAAAAGCCGCTGAAGCGAAGCAAACTGCTGGGCAGGAGATGGCAGGAATGCTCCAATATCATCGCCAGCATCTTTCCGCGCTTCTACTGATCCTTCTACTTGCCTTCAACATTTTAGTGGCTTCACCTCACGCACGCGCGTGCTCTTTTGGACCATCGGATCGCCAGTGTCGGCCATTGATGGCCCCAGTAATTCGCACATGGACAGCTGCCATGTGTTGCAATTCCCATTCACTCTGTGGATGGAAGATCTGTTTACTGTTTTGACCTCCTTGGAGGGTGGTTTCATTGGTCAAATGGAGGTAAATCTTCCACACATGGAATGCTTGGAATTCAGGTATGAATTAAACATCGATCTCTCTATATAGACATCGATCTCGCTAAGCAACGCTTCAAGCGTTGATGACGTCTCGCGGAAACGAAACGACTTCATTGAGAGGCTGCGAAGCTAATGGCCAATCATGTACCACACAAAACACACAGTCGCCCAAATGTGCTAGACTACAGTATAGTCCTTTTGCACATTGGCTTGGACTGTATTGAACAAAGAAAAACAGGAGTCATTGGGGAACACAAATGGCAACATGACCGTTTGTCATACCTGCAACCAACATGAGCTCCACTGCATTGTATTTGTCAAGCAAGAATGGCTTTCTGGTCTTTCAAGGTTCAAGAAAGAACAGTGAATAGATGTGAATAGAGTATCTATCTTTACCCAAATCACTGACTTCAAGATATCAGAAAAGTGCTCGCAGCGCCTCTCTCACTTCCTCGCCAGCCTCTGCCGGGGCGAACCTCGGTCTCGCTTGATCACCTCTCCACCTTCGAGTGTCGCCGCCGTGGTGATCGCACTGCGCCTGGCGCAAGGAAACACGCAAGGAAACAGAAAAAACCGGCACGGATGGGGACTCGAAATGAGGTTCCAAGAGGAAGTGGAAGGAGCAACCAATCCTTAGATGACTTGAACCAATCCTTAGATGACATTAGAGAGGTCAATGTTACTCATCTTCGTCGTTGAATTGTACGAGTACGATCGAATCTGAACAATCACCGTTTCTCCCATCACCGGTGCTTACTCATAGGGTTAATTTGCAAGCTGTGGCTCAAGGTCTGCACTGCTATTGTTGTTTTGGGCCATCCTTAAATCTACTCCATCTGGATCTGGGAGCTTTAAAACATAAAGCCAATTTCAGGTAAGGCAATTCGTAGTGTAGTTATCATTAAACAATAATTTCCGTTGCTCAATGTATATCTATACTATATTATTGCAATTTATATTGTACACTATATTCCATGCTGCATCTTGCATCGCACGTTTCATTCTGCCAGTGAATGGAACGATTACTTTTCAAACATTTTCAAACAACAACCAACCAGTACATACCAGTGCTGCTCTTTGGCTAGTTGATGGCCCACTGTTCCCCATAAATCTCATCTGCCTTTGGTCCAGCTCTCGCACGGCCAACCCCTGAAATTGGATTCATGTCCAGGGTAGCTGTTGTATTTCACCCAAACATCAAAGATTTCAAGTGGACACAACCCCCCAGGTTGATTCTCTGAATCCACAAGGTCATCTTTGGATCCTTTACTACAATCATAAGAAGCTACTAGGAGCTCCTGGCCTTACTACTAGGAGCAAGGACGCTACGAACGGGGCTCCTGCCATCACTACGAACGGAGCATTCTTACTACGAACGTAGCAAGAAGCGTGGCCGTGCCACCGTGCCATCGTGACCTCCCGTGAAATCGATGTGTTTGGGACCTCTCTCAGCCGGGTTCGTCTCCCGCAGGTTCTCTTTCTTGTCAACCTTAGGCCCGCTCTGGACGAAGGCCTGGTGTTCAACCAAAAGAATCCTATATATGCCACCAAACATCCAATTGTGAGGGGAGCAAAGTAAACTCAAATTTTGCCTTTTGCGATGAATGAGGCTGCATAATTATGATTATATTTAGTTCTTCCAGAAATGATGAGAATCCAAACATCTTGTCCCCCATGCATTCTATTGACCACAGGTACATGTATCCGTACACTTGGCCTGGAAAAATACCGAGCTGCTCGTTGGGACCTCTGTGGATGCGCAGCATTCCATCATGGCTGTCTTGTCTGTTGCATCGACAGCACTTCTAATGTCCAGGCCAAGTTGCAATCATTGGCCCGCCATATCGAGCGCAACCAGTGTAGCTGGAGGTGTCCTTGCAACGGAGAAACATTTGCCGTGTCTACATATGTATATATATATATATAGATATAGGTCCGGAAATCATGTCACACCAAACATTTGCCTGCAAAGTGGTAAAATGAACAAAAGGAACATGACATCGCCCCCCCCCAAAAAAATGTGTTATATAAGTTATTGTTTATACGTTCTAGTTGTTTTGCCGTTAAGGTTCCTGTAAGTATTGTGGACAACTGTGCCGATTCCGACTGATTGTTTTTGATGGTCAAAGGTCAATAAGAACTGTGCGAAATAGCTCAACCTCCATGATGTGCTGAATCACACATGATGCTTGTCACTGGCCAACCTGACGAAGCTTTGACAAACATGTTTGCCCAGAATCTTTTCTTTTTTGGCTAAGCAGTTCTTCTCAGAGTGCGTTTTAAAACGTAGATCCCAAAAAGTTTGAAGCCAAAGATGTCCATCTTCTTATGACTCGAAATCCCCTTTAATGGTCTCCCACATGCACCGCACCCACAGGAATTTCAAGGGATTCTCCATGTCCGCTGTCCGCAGACCCAAGGCTCGGCGTTGCATCTCTGACCACACCATCCCGTTTCGTCTCAAGTCCGCTGCTGAACTGTCCAAGTTGCCATGACCGTTCGAAAGCCGTCTGACCTAAAACGTCCAGGGCATAGTCATAGTCATACTTCATTTTTAGAAGGGAGATTTGGGGTGCACCCTCTGGCTTCAGAATACCAAGTTGTCTGCTCTGGCCCATGTATCACCGAGACTCGTAGAAGAACCGCTCAGGGCCACGCAGAAGTGTCGGCCGCTTCGGTTCGTCCTCCTCATCACCTTCGGCACCTGAGCAACGGCAGCGAGCCGCGGATGGACGAGGAAACCAGAACAACCCCAAGACCGCCTGCTTTTATATATCAGTTTTTAATCCTTATTCAGAGGCTGGTTGGGGTTTAAGTGTGATCTCACCAAATAAGCTGAAAAGAAAAACTGATTATACCGGCATAGACCCCAGATAGCACTTCAAGAAAAGTTGGATAGCATGGCAAGAGCGGGAGACAAGCTTGGGAGACATCCCACTCAAAGCCGGAAAAAGGGTGGAAAAAGGTAAACAAGACCTGAGTCATCTTATAGCATCTTATAGCAGCATCCGCGTCAAAGGCAGGCAAGAAAATGACAAGGCGGCGGCGGCAGCCAAGAGCGAAATCAGGAAAAGAGACAAGCTTGGGAACCACGGCGGCAGCGGCAGCCAAGAGCGAAGTTGTGAAGGGAGACAAACTTGGGAGACCAGGCGGCAGCGGCAGCCAAGAGCGAAGTTATGAAGGGAGACAAGCTTGAGAAACAAGACGGCAGCGGCAGCCAAGAGCGAAATCATGAAGGGAGACAAGCTGAACAGACAAGGCGGCAGCGGCAGCCAAAAGCGAAATCATGAAGGGAGACAAGTTTGGGAGACAAGGCGGCAGCGGCAGCGGCAGCCAAAAGCGAAATCATGAAGAGAGACAAGCTTGGGAGTCAAGGCGGCAGCGGCAGCCAAAAGCAAAATCAGGAAGGGAAACAAACTTGAGAGACAAGGCGGCAGCGGCAGCCAAAAGCGAAATCATGAAGGGAGACAAGCTTGGGAAACATGCCGGCAGCGGCAGCCAAGAGCGAAATCATGAAGGGAGACAAGCTTCACAGACAAGCTGGCGGCGGCAGCCAAGAGCGAAATCACGAAGGGAGACAAGCTTGGAAGACAAGCCGGCAGCGGCAGCCAAAAGCGACATCATGAAGGGAGACAAGCTTCACAAACAAGGCGGCAGCGGCAGCCAAGAGCGATATCACGAAGGGAGACAAGCTTGGGAGACAAGGCGGCAGCGGCAGCCAAGAGCGAAATCATGAAGGGAGACGGGAGACAGGCTTGGGAGACAAGGAGGGCAGCGGCAGCCAAGAGCGAAATCATGAAGGGAGACAAGCTTGGGAGACAAGACGGCAGCGGCAGCCAAGAGCGAAATCATGAAGGCAGACAAGCTCGGGAGACAAGACGGCAGCGGCAGCCAAGAGCGAAATCATGAAGGGAGCCAAGCTTCACAGACAAGGCAGCAGCGGCAGCCAAAAGCGAAATCATGACGGAAGACAAGCTTGGGAGACAAGACGGCAGCGGCAGCCAAGAGCGATATCATGAAGAGAGACAAGCTTGGGAGACAAGACGGCAGCCACTGCCAAGAGCAAAAGCATGAAGGGAGACAAGCTTGGGAGACAAGCCGGCAGAGCCAGCCAAGAGTGAAATCATGAAGGGAGACAAGCTTGGGAGACAAGGCGGCAGCGGCAG